TCAGTGGGGTTGGGTGGGTGGACATAGTCTAGTGGCCAGAGGTGTCAGCTGAAGACATGTGACAGGGCTAAGCATCAGATCTATGGGCTCTGTCACAATGAGCTCTGCAAGCAGGGCTTAATCCTGACCCCTGGCCCCAGAGTCCCTATGTTGATTTGGACTTTGAATAAACACTAGCCTCAAATTCACTAACCAGTTCTCAAATCCAAGTTTCTGTGAGTTGTGGTGCTCACTATAGGCAGCCATATGGTCAATAAGCATGATCTTGTTTAATCTGCATGGGCAGCCAGTGTGTGTATGTGGGGGAAAGAGAAGCTCTGAGGAAGGTCAAATGGCCCAGATCATGTGGGAGTCCAGGGGACTTGGAATTCCCACCAATGCAGCATCCTGGCATCAGAATCTACCCTCTCCCGCCCCTGCTGCTCCAACAGTGCTCCTCCTCCCAGCATGGGAGTCTGGAAATGGCAGCCATTAGGGGAACATTTGGGGGCCTCTACAATTTAGCTTTAGAGATTTTGGCCTGGTAAGGAGAACTCGTTAGTTTAGATCTCCTTAGGGCTGCAGAAAGGCAAAAAGGACATGGGGAAGAGCTTGGGAACCTCACTTTCTGCTTCAGAAAGCAGCTCACACTGAGCCTGGCTGAGTCCCAGTCTGCATTCCTGCCTCTCAGCACCTGGGCTTGCTCCAAGGGGATCAGAAGCCTTCACATCAGGTCACTACTCTGGCACCTTTCTCGCTTCCATAGCTTCAGGGGGCCTCATCCCCATGCTCATCACTTGGTAAGGGAACTCATGGGGTAGACAAGACCAATTGGCTGGCTTTGCCACCCCCTATTCCTCACCACCACCTTCTTCACCTTCAGGGTCTGGGCCCAATCCTGCCACTGCCCTCCCACTCCCAGGCACCAGGCATTCTGCTCCAGCTCTGCAAGGGCCAAAGGAAGTATATCTCCATCTGAGCAGGGGGGACCCTGGTCACCTCTGCCATCCCCGCATCAACCCCAGACTTGCCACACCTCTCATTCCCACTTGGGGCCCAGATTCCTGCAGCCCCTCTTGATCCAGTTGTCTCCCTATGTGTCACCACCTCCCAAGACCTCAATGAAGGCTGGCACCTGGTCTCACCTCCCATACCCTGGCACAGCACCCACAACTCCATCCTACCTAGGTATTCCTTCCCAGGTAGCAGTGAGGAGCTTTCCATGGCAGCCTGTGCCCTGACTCAATCTGAGCTGAGCTTCACTTAGTTTCAGAGGGGCTCACAGTGGGAAGAACTGGGGGGTGGGTATTGGCCATATTTTGGGGGCATGTTGAGCCAAGGCAGGGTGGCACCCCATGCTGTAAGAGAACAGGGAGGAGACTGACTTCCTCTTCAGGATTCCAGGAGGGCTTTCCAGGGAGTGACCCTGGGGCTGAGACTCAAAGGAGAATCAGCTGTGCTCAGGGAAGGCAGAGATGAATGTGGCAGACAAGAAGAGCACCAGTACAGCAGGACTAGGGTTCAGAGTCCAGGAACCTGGGGATAAAAGGGAGACCAAGAGGTGCAAGAGGAGCTGTGGGATTTGCATGAAAACAGGGCAGGAGCATCTCTCTGGTGCCTTGGATCCCGCTGCAGACTTCAACCACGCAGAAAAGACTTGATGACCACAGGGGTGGAGACTGGAGAAAGCGTGGGTTGGAGGGGCAAGAGTTGTGCAGCAGCTTCCTCTGGGGGTGGCCCCAATCTGGAGCTCCCCTCTCAGCAAGGAGCACTGGAGGGATGGTGGGGTGGAGGAGTAGGACTGGAGTAGTTACCAAAAATTCACATGGGGTTGTCGCTCTGAAAGGTGTGAGTTCTTTTAGGAAGAAATAAACAAGGAATGAAACTCTACTGGTAAACTCTCAAGCAGGAAGACTTCCAGACTGCAATGTTCCAGGGTGGAATGGGGCTATGAGATGACTCCTGTCCCACCTCAGGGAAAGAGTGCTTCTTTGTTGCTGGGAGGCAAGGACTCCTGGATTCCACAAGGTAGGAGGGTTGGTGAGAAGACTGCCTAACTCACCCCATCAGAGCCTGGCGCCTGGGGCAGGGTGAGGGACAGAATCCTCTCTGAAGACTTCTGTCCTATGCGCAGATGCAGGTATGGTTTGGTGTCCTGCAGCCATGGAAACTGCAATCAACACTGAGCGGTGTGGGAAGAGTCTTCCTGCCTCTTCTGATGGGAAGCAATCCTGCTGTTGTGGCCCAGGCCTCTAGATCCCTGAGGGGCGGGATCTAGAGGCCGGCACAGTTGGGCTCTGGGTTACCGAAGTACACACTTAAGTGGCTCCTAAATGTCTATATTGTGAGGGTCGGGAGTGGCGGTGGTTGGGTGCATTTGGTTGGAAGGGTACTCGGTGGTCGGTCTTGATGCTGAACTAAGCTTTTAATTTCTGTTGTTTACTTCAGGTGGGCGTGGTGCAGCAAGGCGGAGGTTTTTCCCCAGGGGGTTATCACTCAAGTAATAATCCTCCAAACCCCAACTTCGGGAAGAGTAAGAAGCCGCGACTGCGGCTCTGGAGGATGGGTATACTGCCACAGAGTCTGCAGGGCCGCTCATCCCCAGTCCTCCGTGGAAAGGGAACCGGCGGACCCACGCCCTGGCGGTGCTGGGGAAACCCCGGCTGTCCCCGTGGAGCGGGCCCGAGGAGGGGCGGGGCCTGGAGGTACACTACACCGTGGCACTCCACTCCGAGCCTGCAGCTCCGGCGTCCCTGGCCTTCGCGTAGCGTGGGGCAATTAGGCGCCCCGCCCGCCCGCTTGGCTGAGTGACGCCGGGGCGGGGACGCCACTGCGGGAGCGGGCGGGGCGCGCACGCTCACAAAATGAGGTTTCCCAAAGGACCCCCAACCTGTTTTCGCCTCTGGAAATGTGCCTAGTACTCCCCTTGGCCCTGATCCAGCGCGGGCCAGCAGGTGGACGGGGTTTAGTTGGCCCCACACTCAAGGCCACTGTCAAAGGGGGGTCTTCGAATTACTCGTAGTAGAAGCGGCAGGGCATGGGGCTTGGGTTCGGCGGGGGTTTAAGTAAGAATCAGTGCTCATGGCAGTAAGACGCCCCAATGGAGTTCAAATAAAAGGGGGACGTCCTCTTCCCCAGACCACTGCCCTGCCAAGGGACCCCGCCGTCTTGGCTCGCTCATGGGTGTCCTCCCAGAATCTGCTCTGCAAGCACTAGCGATCTTGGGCATGCCACCACGGCTTTCAAAAAACCCGCACGAACCGAGAGAATAATATGTGGTTTGATTCTTTCACTTAAGCGGAGTCGCGTCCCACTTCTCGGAGCCCCGACGCAAGGGTCTCTGTCATGTGCTCTCCGGGTCTCAGGGAAACAATGCCAGTCCTCTCCGCGCGCAGGCGGACACGGCGGGGCAGCGACAGCGGAGAGGGCAGAGCCTGGTAGTCGACCAGGCTCCACCTTTTGGCTCCAAGCGCCCTGTCAGCCGGGGACGCGCGCCTATCCGGCTTTTAGGGATACGTGCGTGGAGACACGGCGTGGGGAGCCGGGCCATTGCCCGGAACGTCCCTTCGGCCCTCCCGGAACTAGTCTTCACTGCTGCGGCACCGGCCGGAGCAGAGGAGGCTGGTCCCCCAGAGCCTGCGAGTTGGGTGCTAGAGCGGCCAGGCCTCTGGGCCAGGTCGAGCCCGGGACGACTACGGCTGCGTCACGCGGGATTGAGGGGGCGGGGCCGCCACGGGCGGAGGCCGGAGCCGGAAGCGGAAGAGGCGCTTGGAGCGGGCAGTGGGGCCTAGCCGCAGCCCGAGCCTGGGAGACGGTGAGTGTGGGCCGGGGCCCGCGGCGGCGGCGGCGGCTGGGGTGCGTCGGCTGGGCGGGCAGGCTGGTGCGGGTACCCGTGCTCTCGGTTCAGTCTCGGCCTACACCGTTTCTTTCTCCTCATCGGCTCACCTCAGGCCGCGGCCCCGACCTCTCACCCCTGACCCGCCGCTTCTCTCCCGGAGGGCGGCCACTGCAGACCCCAACTTCTGGATCCCGCGGTGTTGGAGGCGGAACCCAAGCGGCCTCTGAGGCCCCTGCGAGGATCCGGTTTCTGCCCTACGTCTGCCCGCCGGATGAGTTCGGGGTCCGACCTAGGATAGCCTGAAAGGGCTTCGGGACCGCTTCCCTACTCCCGACTCGAGGCTTAGTCCGCAGGCTCTTCTTCCCCGCGCCGCCTGGAGTTTGATTCTAGCCCAGGCTGGCCACCTCAGCCCGCCGGGTCTTCCTTCCGTACCACTAGTGGCGGTTACCAGGGACCGGGCGAAGGAAGGGATGTGATCGAGGGCCTCAGGTCCCATCGTGTTTTGTTGATATGATGGAGCCGCTTCAGCCCAGGAAGCAGGCCAGGCCAACTTGACTGTACAAATGCCCAGGCTACTCCTCGGTCCGGCCGGGAGTCTATGCTCCAGTTCCGGGTGCGGGTGCCCTGATGTGGAGCCGGGGTGGGAATTGCTTGAGCCAGGCCCCCGTCAAGGCGGAGTTGGCGGCCTTCCAGCTTCCCTCCTCCGTGCCCTTGAAAAGGAGGAGCGTTTCACCCGGCGGCGGCCGCGGCTTCCGAGGTGGCAGGTTTGAGGTTGCAGTGGTGGGGCAGTGCCAGCCAAAAATAACCATGGGGCACTGGGGTGGCTTGAATCCGGGAGGGCAGCCGCTGACCTGGCTGGCTGTTCTTGTCAGCCCAGTTCTTTGGCCAGGAAAAGCAAAGGAGAAGCCGACTAGGCCTGTGCTCAGGGAAAAGCTGGCATCCTTGTCTTGGTTTCCTTCTCATTGCTTTTTCATTGTGTAGAGCCTCCCGATGCACAGTTGTGTCCCTTAGCTTCTTGAAACTACCTGCTTGCTGAGGTCTCAGACAATCAGTGACAGTGGTGAGAAAAGGGATCTGCTAAAGCCCTGGCTGAGAGGATGAGGAGAAGCACCTGGTGTTTCTGTATTTCACCTGCCTCGAATGTTATAGGAGAGATTGTCTTCTCTTGCTTTGTGAGTGGTACTTTATGGCTCTCATACTTGCAATTCCTTTGCCAGGCTGGTAGGTGTTGTTTTATTTTCCAGGAATAAAAGTGTGTTATCTTTATTTTCCAAGGCCTAAAGTGACTTGTCTAAGGTCACAAGGCTAGTAAGTAAGTGGCAGCACTGGGATTTAGTCAGGGTTTTCTGCCAGAGGTCTCTTCTCTCAGATCCCTTGAAGAAGAGGCTTATAAAATGTGCTTAAGACACTTAATAGCACTGAAGGGTTATATGGAACCTTTTTTAGTGTTAATGAGAAGTGCCTTTAGTACCTCTTGTGGGCCCAAGGTATTTGACTTATAAGAAAGAATTATTTAATTAAGAGATTACTGTTTCTTTGTTGTAAGAGGAAGCTAAAGATCAGGTAGTTTTAACAACTTACCCAAAGGCAAACAGCTGGCAGTGGCATTGTCACAATTCAGACTGACATCTGACTCCCAGTCTACGACTTTCCATTCATGTAAACATGTATGGACATAAGAAACCTTTAAGTCCTGGGATGAAGGGATGTGGATTAGACCATATCCACATCCAGATTTGGTGCTTTGTCTGCTCAGTGAGGTTGAACAGGATGACACTTGCCTTGTGGGAAGGAGTGTGCCCTGACCAGCGGAGCGTCTTCTGGGTTAATTAGTGGAGTGAAATAAGGCTTTCAGTCCATGGCTTGGGCACCTGACCCAGGAAATTGCAGAAAAACAGTGAGACATTAGTCAGATCATCATCAGAACAACAAATATAAGCTCTGTCACTGAGTTTACATAGTGTTTATCTCCAAGGATTGCTGGGGATCAGGCTTTCAGGTGTGTTGAAGGGGGTGTTGCTACTGGGGAGATTGAGGGCATTGCCTTTCTTAGGACCATGGAAAAGCTTCCAGAGGTAGTGGCAGGTATGCCACATCATCCTGCTTATCCTCAAGGAACTGTTTCATCCTGATAGACTGCACTGGAGAGATATGGTAGCCTTGGTGGATTTGTCCAAAATGTGCTTGGTTGGGCAAGCCCAGGACTGCCCAGGATGGGAGACTGGCCATGGCCAAGTAGATGCTTGGAAAGAGGCTGTCCAAATTTCTTGCCTAGCCGTCCTATGGAAGTAATGTCAGAAGCTGGGATGCAGGTGGAACAGGGAGCTGGTCTCACATATCCACCTTTCTCAGCTGATGGCTGATCCAGCTTGATAGTTTCCTGTGGTGGATATAAATTGCCACTGGACAGGAATATTGAGGTGGGGCCCTGCCTATCTGTGTAGACAGGCTTGCCAGCCAGCTAGTCCTTTAGCTACTCCTGAGATGGGCATAGAAGAAGTTGCAGGAGCAGGTGAGATAGAAGAGGGTATGGTACCTGTATTGTTAGGGAAACATAAGGCACCCCAGGCAAGCAACTTAGGCACTCTGGGATCCTGACATTCTGCTGGTGCTGAGACCTAGTGTGGGCCAAAAAGGGTTGAATAGGTCCACGTCCACGTCCACTTGGCTAGACCCTCATATAAGCTAGGGAGTGCTGGTGAGCCACTGTGTGCCTCTTTTTCCAAGGGCTTGTTTTCTCATTTCTGCTGTGGCTCCTGGTGCTGACTTGTTTTACTGCCTTGAATGAGTCCAGTTTAGGGCCTCAGCCAGGTAACTTTGAGCCTCTCAAACCAGGCTTTGGCTCTTTGCTCTGTGTGTTGGCTCCATGACAGCTGCCCTTTGGTCTCAGGCTTTCCAGAGCATTCAAGACATGGAACCCCACAGGCAGAAGGGAATTGAGTACAGGAGTCTCCCTTTTCTCCTCCTACCTTGGCATCCCTGTGATAGTGCTCACCATCTTTACCCTGTATTCCCACCTTGGCCCACCCAGTTCCCTGAGTGCTTGGGCCTCAGGCCATGCCAGGGATGCAGCTGTTTATTTGTTCACTGGCAGAGAAGGGAGTTACCCATTGTCTGCTGTTTGGCCAGTGTGACCTCAGAGTTCTTCTTCACTTCATAAACCCCTGGGAGGGGCTGCCCCCAAACATAACAATGGGCCTCTTCTTCAGGAGCATCTGGTGTGCCCCACGCCACCCTGTGGCTGGAGGCAGCAGGCTGTGTGTTGAGCAGGGCTGTTTCTCACTGCCTAGATGCATCACTGTAAGCGATACCGCTCCCCTGAGCCAGACCCGTACCTGAGCTACCGCTGGAAGAGAAGACGGTCTTACAGTCGGGAACATGAAGGGAGACTACGTTACCCAGCCCGAAGGGAACCTCCACCCCGAAGATCTCGATCCAGAAGGTGAGTGGGAGCTGGGTAGGAAAGAGAGACTCCTTTTAGCTGGGCAAGGAAGATTGTCTGGAGGCTTTGGCAACCCCAGTCTCTCCGAGATGACTCTACTTCTGCCCAGCTCTCCTTCCCCCCATCCCTGCCCTAACTCCTCTGGGCTCCTTGTCTAATCTCAACCGGCATTTTCTGGCCTTAAGTAGCAGCCTTCCTTGCCACCCTTTCTTTGTCCTGGAGTGTCTCTTATCTCTTCTCCATATACATTCTTCATTTTCTAAGCCAGTGTCTCCCCTGCCAACCTCCTGAGCCTTCCTCATTGGGAATTAGGAACATAGTCTCAGTCTAGGAAAGATTGGTCCCTGGTCCTGTCTCAGGCCCCAGACCAAAATTATAGTCATAGCAAGCTATAGGTAACTTCAGAGAGTTGTTGCCCTCCACATGTTCACCTTCCCCTGTCCTCTGCCTTCTGTGGCACTGGAGGGATGCTGTCATTATCCATGGTTCTGGGGGGTGAGCTTGGTATTTTCACACCTTCCCCTCCCCTGCTCACTTCCGCTCAGTCTTATGCCTCTCCAACAAGCTTTCCCTGAAAGCTCTTTTTAGGGACCCACAGGCCTCTTACCTGCTAACAGGGACCTGGCTAGTGGGAGCAAGCGCCACACTTGACTGGTATCCCCATCCCCCTCTTGTCAGCCACGACCGCCTGCCCTACCAGAGGAGATACCGGGAGCGCCGAGACAGCGATACATACCGGTGTGAAGAGCGGAGCCCATCCTTTGGGGAGGACTGCTATGGATCTTCACGTTCTCGCCATCGACGGCGGTCACGGGACAGGGGGCCATACCGGACCCGAAAGCATGCCCATCACTGCCACAAACGCCGCACCAGGTCTTGTAGCAGCGCCTCCTCGGTGAGTGGTGGCCAGAGTGTGCTGGCTGGGGCCAAAGGCCTCATCTCTTTTTAGCCTCTCTCAGGCTGGCTGGTCTGGGTGAGTACTGCCAGCCCTGCGCGCTGCTGTGCGTGCATGTGTGTGTGTGTATGTGTTGTCTGGTCCAGGTGCAGGGCTGAGCAGGGACCTTGGCCCTCTGTCTTCTGGCCCATTGCCAGGGGCAGCTATAGGGCTTTGGCTCCAGCTCTGGCTGGTCCCAGCCTGTCTGTGTCTACACACTACTCCAGACCTAGGCCACATGTGCAAGTGGCCAGGGACACTTCTTAGGGATCCCAGTAGGTTGTCAGTATGTGACCTTGGGCTACATGACCTGGTCCTTCCTACCAGAGATCACCCTCGATGTAGCTGAGTGCTCTGACATGTGGACTGCACCCACCTCTGCAGTCTCATTTCCACACTCCTCCCCAGAGGCCCTGAGGCCACAGTGCCCCCATGGGAGAGGATGTCAATCAGCTCTGACTTTTTTCTTTCTTATGGTGCTACTGGGACTTGAACCCAGGGCCTCACACACGCTGTACAAATGTTCTACCACTGAACTACATCTCCATCCCACCCATCCACCTTTTTTTTTTTTTGTGGTATGGTAATTACTGTGTTGCGTAGGCTGGTCTTTGAACTCCTGAGCTCAAGCCATCCTCCCGCCTCAGCTGTGACTACAGGTGTGCGTCACCATATATGGTCAGACAGCTCAGATTGGGAGCTTCCTTTTTGACTTCAGCCAGGCCCTCTTCAGCCTCACTTCTTTGCAGGAGGAACAGTCACAGGAGGGACAGCTGTCTGTATGATGAGACTTTGGAAGAAAAGGCAAAGAGGTCCACAGCCCAGGCAGCTCAAGGCCTCACCCTGTTGCAGGCCAAATACTAAGAACAGGGCTGGCCAGTGTTCTGATGTGGAGGGTGGTACAGATCTCGGCTGAGACCAGGAGCCCATACTGCACTCAGTCCCCTGGGAAGAAAGCCAGTGTGTGTTCTGAGGTTATGTGCTGTTTTCTCTTCTCCACATCCCTCTTCCCTGCCTCCCTTCTGCCGTCCATAAGGCTCCTGAGGATCAGTGGAGGGGCTAGGCATCTTCTCTGCCCACCTCTCTCTGTGACTTCTTTGAGCGGCCATGGGTTGATGGTTGACTCTGTGTGTGCAAATCCGTCGTGGCCATGTGGCCTCTGTACAGTGCCACATGCTGCCACAGAATGGCAGTGCAAGTCTGTGGCTCTGCTTCTTCTCTTTTGGTGCCCTCTGTGGTTGTAAGGCTTGGGATGGGCCTGGCCTGTGAGCAGCACAGGTGCCAAGGCCAGGGCAGGAGCTGACTTGGGGCCTGTATAGGCCAATTGTTGTAGGAGGACTGGAGGTCAGCCATCCCAGAAGATCCCAGGTTCCTTTCCTGCTTGAGACTGGTGGCAGGAGGACTGCTAATGGAAGGCTGTCTCTGGTAGTGTGGTTACTTCTGGCCAAGGGTGCCGTCTGGGGGCAGGTAGCAGCTTGGCTCTGTGTGGCAGCTGTCAGGCATGTGCAAAGAAGGCTGTGTGGGTGAAGGAGGCAGGCAAGGACAGGCTGGACATTCTGCAGCTGAAGCCAGGGTAGCCCTCCGACCAGTCTAGTTGGTCAGACCCAGGCTAGGCCAGCTGCCTTCTTGTGCTGTTTCTCACTGTGTCTTTAGCTCTGACTAAAGACACCATGGGAGGGCCAGGGAGGGGGAAGACTCTGAAGAAGAGGGAGTCAGGGCTGAGGCTGTCCTTAGGGCCCGGCCCCTTGGCGGCAGAGGCTGGACATCTTTCTGAGCGTTTGTGGCGCTCCTCTTATAGATAATATCCGAGTTTCTTTACATACCTGTAGCTGTTTTTACTTTTCTGTTTTTGAAGTCAGTTTGTGTCTTGACGTGTCCCTTGCAATATCCCTATCGTTATATATGCTGTGTGCCTTATGAAATGCTGGGATCTGGAAAATCCAACCAACCAACCCACCGGCTCCTCACCGTCTCCACCTCTGCCTTTGACTGACACTTCAATCTGTCAATCGGAACCGCCTACCATGCGATTGGTCGGATGGCGTTTCGGGGGGCGGTGCATGCAGAGAAGCCAACAGAGCAGTAAGCGCAGCAGCCGGAGTGTGGAAGATGACAAGGAGGGCCACCTGGTGTGCCGGATCGGCGATTGGCTCCAAGAGCGATGTACAGCCACCTTTCGTAAAACTTTACCTCTCTACTTTCTACCCCCCTTGTTAGACGAGACCTCTCCTGCCTGGAGGGGCCTCTAGTGCGCGTGGCGCCTTAGTGGGGCCACAGTAATTGCCTGAATGACACAGACACTAGCAACTTCCGTTTTTAAGAGAGTAGCAGTGAGAGAGAAACCTCTTTTGTTTTTGAAAATTTGAATGCTGTGAACTTGCAGGAGCCGCCGACCTCCTGCCCTTCGGACTCTCATGCCCCGCTTCTTTTCTCTTGTAGATGAGATCGTGGGGAACCTAGGTGAAGGCACCTTTGGCAAGGTGGTGGAGTGCTTGGACCATGCCAGGTGAGTGAGCTGGGGCAGCACAGCTGGCTCCAGATGTCATCCTAGGAAGAGTTAGCTTGAGGCTCTCAGAGTTTTGAGAAAACTCTTTGGTGGGATTCTGATCTGTACTTGTTGGAGTTGTGCTGACCTCCTGAAATAAGGGAGAAATCTTGAGGTTCAGCAGGCATGTGATGTCCCTGCCCAAGAACTGGTCGATAAATGGCTTTGCCCCAGTTCTTCAGGGCTATGATGGTAGATATCAGAGCAGAGCTGAGATTCTGGCTCCTCTGAGGCCTGGAGCTGCTTCCTGTGAGCTCATTCAGGTTCTTGACCTGGCAGGGGTTTGGGAATATTGCTAAGTCCAGCCCAGAATTGACAGTCGCCTACCCTAGTCTGCCTGGAAGGCTGTGCAAATCCTGGTTGAGAGAAATAAGACTGGACTTTTACCAAGCAGGTCACTGCCTTTCCCAATGTGGCTAGAGTCTCATAGAGTCCCTGCTGAGTGTCAAGGAGAGTGTGTGGGGGGTTATACTAATATATATTGTGCTGCTGGGAACGCTCTGCTCCCTCCCAGGCCTAAGAGTGTAACACCTTTGTCTTCTACCATTCCTCAAGACTAGAGGACTAGATTCTTGTATAGCTCTGGGTTGGGGAGGCTACCCCCTGGAAACCAGTTGCCTCCCTGCCTTACTAGGTCTCTGATAGTAACCTTAGCCATGAACTGCTAGTACCTCATTTGAACTATGAGCCATGTCAGTCACTCTTTTAAAGAATGCTGCACAGGGTTTCATATCTCAGCTATTAAGGCAGATCTGGGAACCCGGTGCTTCCACATTAGAAGGGTTGCTCAGCTGTGCACAATGGTGCATGCCTGTAATCCCAGCAGTTTGGAAGGCTGAGGCGGGAGGATCGTGAATTCAGAGACAGCCTCAGCAACAATGAGGCACTAAACAATTCAGTGAGACCCTGTCTCTACATAAAATACAAAATAAGGCTGGGGATGTTGCTCAGTGGTCAAGTGCCCCTGAGTTCAATCCCTGGTTCACCACCTGACCCTGCCCCGAAAAAAAGGGCTGCTCAGTGCTGGGGTGTAGCTTAGTGATTGAGCACTTGACTAGCTTGTGCGAGGTCCAGCACTGAAAAAAATAAAATAAAATCTCTAGCACTGAAAATAAAAGAGGACTGCTTACAAAGGACGGTTAGACCCAGGAAGCAGCCATTTCTATGGGCAATGAGGTAAAGCAGTGATATGACCGAGAGGAAACTTCCTTTTTCTCCCAGTTCCCATTTAAACATGCATGAATCCAGTGTGACCCAAGAGGTTAGGGTGGGGATCAGTGAGTGTAAGGATAGGACAGATTCAAGAATTGTGACACATAAGGGCAGCTAAGCTATCTGGGCTGTGCCACTCTGAGGGAAAATGAGCCTCTGAAGTCGTTAAGGAGAAGACATAGGACCCAGAGATCCTTCAGGGGACTTTAAAGGGAGGCAAGGCTGGCAAAGTGATTTTGTGGAAGCTCAATGAGAGGAAAGCCTCATCCTCAGAGCCAGTAGGCCTGGTGGGGGCTTCTCTAAAAGCCTTATACTCCCTTTGTTGAGGATTGAAGTGCCATGGCAGGATCTTGTGCTGGGAGGCTGGGGTAGTTGCCTTCGTTCTGAGGTCCTGAAGGTCTGAGGAAATTGTCTAGGGAGAACAAAGTAGGGTATTCTCTAAAAGGTGCCTTTGCCTTTGGGCCTGTGGACCTATCTGTACCTAGGCACCAGGAAGTCAAGAACATTGATGGAGGCCTCAGAAGATACACCCTTGTGGGTCAGGGCCAATTCATTGCCAAGTCACCACTGGGCATCTGAACATTAGCTGTCCTTGACAGGGCCTCAGTAGGTTTTCTTCTCTGTTCACATCTGCAAATGGCAGACTGAGGTGGGCAGAGCAAGGATTGTTTAGATCCTTCTTGGACACCTAATAAGAGTTCCTGGTACTCTTCAGTTGTTGGTAAATGCTGTGGCTGATAGGCAGGCAGGGAGGAGGGCCTGGGAAGGTATGTACCCTGGCCTCCTGGAACCCTTGCCCAGAGGCTCTTTGGCTTGTAGATGTGCTTAGGTCAAGAGGTATAGTAGGGAGGGCTCTGAGTGGGACAGCCTGGCCTGCAGCTTATATCACTGGCTGGGCTCTAAAAACCTGAGATCAGCATGGAGCCTGAGAAATCTAACTCAGATGTTAGGCAAATTTGCTATTAGGTGACAGATCTGGTAATGCATCGTGCAGGCTGGGCCTCAAGTGTCAATTCTCTTCAGGCAAGCTATTCATGGAGCCTATTTGTTGGGAGTTGCTAGGTTAGGGTGGAGGGTGAAAGAGGGGCTGGGCAGCCACTGATGAGAACTTATGTTTCCTTCCTGTGTGCCAGAGGGAAGTCTCAGGTTGCCTTGAAGATCATCCGCAACGTGGGCAAGTACCGGGAGGCTGCCCGGCTAGAAATCAATGTTCTCAAGAAAATCAAGGAGAAGGACAAAGAGAACAAGTTGTGAGTGTCTACAGTATTTGGGAGGGAAGGCTTCAGGGGACAGAGTTTGCTCCAGCCCCAACTGCTTGGGGTTTCACTGCGTCTTGACACCTCTTTGGCACTGTGTCTTCTCAGCACACTTCAGAGCGAGTTTTACCTAAGCAGCTGTTGGACTTTAGTCCAGGCTTCACACCAGCCAGCTATGTGTTCTGAGGCAAGCTCCAGCCTTGCATTTGTGAATTGGGGACTTTGCTGGTTGCAAAACTGGGGACCTCACATAGTAGGAGACCTCCAGAGGAGAGCCTTCCTTTAGCAGATAGACACTCACTGAGCACATATGTCCTCCCCCCCACCCTAGCATGGTGCCTAGCCAAGCTTGGACAGAGGGCCAAGTCCACAAAGGCCCTCAGGAAGCTCAGTAGCAAGGGGGTGTCCTTTGGTATGGTAGGCTGCCACCACTCCACCTCACCCTCAGCAACTCTGAGGCAGGGCTTCTCTCATCCTGTAAGTGAATGAGCTCAGACCAGAACCCTGGCCCTCTGTGCAGCAGGAAGTTCAGTCTTGCCCAGAGTTCATCTGGGTGATGGATGGCCAGTGGGGAGATGTGCTCTGGCTCTGCTCTCTTCACATGTCTTATCTGCATCGTGGTGTACAACCCAGTGGCCTAGGAGTGGGTGGGGGCTGTCTTCATCTGAGGAGCAGTGAGGCAGCCCCCAGCACAGAGCCTGAGCCCCACCCATCCTTCTCCCCCAGCCTGTGCGTCTTGATGTCTGACTGGTTCAACTTCCACGGTCACATGTGCATCGCCTTTGAGCTCCTGGGCAAGAACACCTTTGAGTTCCTGAAGGAGAATAATTTCCAGCCTTACCCCTTACCACATGTCCGACACATGGCCTACCAGCTCTGCCACGCCCTTAGATGTAAGTGTCCACCCTCAGATGGAGCATGGGATGGCTACACTCCTGCAAAGTCACCTGGTTATTCTTGTCTGCCCCCATTCACTCCAGAGCATTGCTAATCATTGTGTTGGGCCTAAGAGGCCCCCAGGGGCCCTAGTGAAAGGCCTTCTATCTTTAGGTAGGAACCTTAGTGTTAGGGTGGAAAGGCTAGTCTCTCCCCCTCCTCCAGGGACCTTTTGGGCTAGGCTCTGCCTGAAGGTGCTCAGGAAGAAAACAGGGAAGGGCTGCTTTAGATTTGGCCCAGGAGCCAATTCTGCCACCCATGTTCATGCATAGGAGAAAAGGTAGAAACTAGACCTGATAGACTCCTCTACCTCTGTCTAACCATCTGCCTGTCGGCTTTGAAGAACATATTTGGTGGTCCAAGTGTTCAGCACCATCAGATTTGTGACAGTTATAGAAGAACATAAAGGATTCTTACGTAAAGCAATAAGATATAGAGCGAGGATGTGTGGGGTCTGGATGGGTAGCAGGAAGGGGGACAATCAAGCACAAGGGGAGCAGCTCAGCAGCTGCCTAGTGCAGCATGCTGAGACTCACTCCAGTGGAGAGAGGGCTTATATTGGGAAGTGGTGGGTCACAGAGTTGTGAGGGTCTTATATGCCAGACGTGATTGAGTGTGAAGCCACTGTTCGTGGGCTGAAGGCAAAAGGCATCCCTGCTTAGGGCTGGCTTCATGGGTGAGTGATCAGTTACACTTCAGTTTTGAGCAAGGGGCCTGTGTTTTCATTTCACAATAGACCCTGCAAATTACACAGGGAGTGTTGGGGAGGAGAAGCCACCTGAGGCTGTTTGCTGTGACTTTGGTGAAAGACTGGAAAGGAGGCCTGGTCTTTGCAAAGGAGAGGAGGAAGGTGGTTTTGGGGACGGAAAACCTGCCCTTCCCTGTCCTCCTTCTAAAGGCAAACCCTCAGAGTCTCAGGTAGAGCTCTTGAGAGGGATGCCAGTGGGGAGATAAGGTCCAGCTCTCTGCTGAGGATGCGTATGCACAGCTCTGGCAGTTGCTGGCTTTGGAGGAGTCTAGGCTAGAGCTGGTGGGAGAGCCAGAGGGGACGACAAAGGTCTCAGGGTTTGCTTCTCCCCCTTCCCCTACTTCTCTAGTTCTACATGAGAACCAGCTGACCCACACAGACTTGAAGCCAGAGAACATCCTGTTTGTGAATTCTGAGTTTGAAACCCTCTACAATGAGCACAAGGTAAAAGCATTTGTTGGAGCATGGGTGTGGCGCTGCTGGGGCTGGTTTACCACTTGGTAAACTGACCTGGCTGGCCCACCTTGTCCTTCAGAGCTGTGAGGAAAAGTCAGTGAAGAACACCAGCATTCGAGTGGCTGACTTTGGCAGTGCCACCTTTGACCATGAGCATCACACAACCATTGTGGCCACCCGTCACTATCGCCCGCCTGAGGTGATTCTTGGTAAGTCAGCCTTGTTACACGTGGCAGTTAACCCTGGGTGGGCATAGAGGTGGTGGCATGCCTCTCAATCTGCCACCAGGGTTGGCAGTGTCACAAGACAGGTTGACTTGGCCTTGTAGGAATAGCCTTAGAGTGGGCCTTGTACATTTGGGCAAGAGTCCCTTCAGCCAGAGTGGCAGTAACCCATGACCTCTAGGCTAAGTCTCACAGCTTCTTCCTCATTTTGGCTTGCAGAGCTGGGCTGGGCACAGCCCTGTGATGTTTGGAGCATCGGTTGCATTCTCTTCGAGTACTACCGGGGCTTCACACTCTTCCAGGTATACTATTTGAGCTGAGTGCTGCAGGGCCCTGGGGTGGGAAGCCCTGAGTGGCTGAGGGGGACAGGTGTCTTCTACCCCCCACCAGTCATGTGAGATCCAGACTGTTCAGAATTGTAGATGCTCAGGAAAAGGCAGAGATTGGCACACAGTTGGAACACTCAGGAAAGAGCTTTCTGCTAGGACAGAAGACTAGGGTGGTTGGGAGAAGCGAATTGTAGGCAAGGGGGCACAGCATGAGTGCAGGCTTGAGATTGGATCGGTATTGGGCACCCAAACTGAGGAGAGTGAAAAACCAGAGTGTTCTATAGTCAAGGCCTAGTGCAGCATGCTGAGACTCACTCCAGTGGACAAGTTCACCTACAGAGCTGCCTCCCCATCAGAGGCTGGGAGGGTTCCATTGGTAGATTTGCATTTCCTGGGCAGGGAGGGAGGCTACTTGCCCATCTCTTCTCACTCTTTGTACTCCCTGAAGGGGCTGAGGCTGGGACTGACCCCTACTTGCTCTGTCCCTGGCCTTCTCTAGACCCATGAAAACCGAGAGCATTTGGTGATGATGGAGAAAATCCTAGGGCCCATCCCATCACACATGATCCACCGTACCAGGTAAGGAGCCCTGGTGGTTCTCTCAGAGCATTGGAGGGCCTTTTCTTGGCTGTGAGTTAGCAGGGCACTTGAGATATGTACAGTCTTTTTTGGACATTACATGGCCCTCCAGGCTCCTAACAGTGTTCCTCATGTGTCCCTCCAACTGAATTGGCACTACTGCAGCCCAGACTTTCTTGCCCTGCTGGGTCAGGACTGTTGGGTCCTGCCCTGGGGACCCAGACTGCTTCTATCTTGGGTTCAGCCAGGAGCTGCCATTCCCCATCTCCCACCACTCTTACATTCCCTCTCCCTTAATTTTTAGAAAGCAGAAATATTTCTACAAAGGGGGCCTGGTTTGGGATGAGAACAGCTCTGATGGCCGGTATGTGAAGGAGAACTGCAAACCTTTGAAGGTCAGTTTCTGGCTTCCCCCAGCTCAACTCATGCCAAGGAGACCCCAGGCACCAGACAAACAGCAGAGACAGAACGGGCAGCTAAAGGCTGTCTCCTCGTTCCGGCTCTGTGGGAGACAGCACCCAAGACTGCTGGGTGTTGGCAGTGAGGCTTCCTGCAAGCTGCCCCAGAGGGGCCCTTAGCCCTATCCCTTCCCCACAGGGTGGCTATGAATATAATTGGGGAACACCAGAAGAGCCAGATGTCAGAGACCCTGCTGCTTCCTGACCCTCCCTCTCATCTCAATTTTGGGAAGAACTAGGCAGGACTGAGGCAAGGGGGAGGGAAGATGTAAACATGGCCAGGAAGTCTGTCAACTGCATCTGGTGCCTGGACAAGTGAATTTTGCAGAGGTGATTTCTACCCACCTCTCAGGACTTTGCATGTGAGGTAGAGGCACCAACCCAGCAAGACACCCAGTAGCCTAAGTTCTGAGCAAAACCTTAGAACTTGGGCATGAAAGGCAAGGAGCTGCTGTTGTCTGTCCCAGAGGGCGGAAGTAGAGTCCTCCAAGGAGGCATCCCAGAGGCAAGGGGACTGCTGTGGACCCTGCCGTGACACTGAGGCACCTTGTGTCCTTGAGCAGAGTTATATGCTCCAAGATTCCCTGGAGCATGTGCAGCTGTTTGACCTGATGAGGAGGATGTTAGAATTTGATCCTGCCCAGCGCATCACACTGGCGGAGGCCCTGTTGCATCCCTTCTTTGCTGGCCTAACCCCTGAGGAGCGGTCCTTCCACACCAGCCGCAACCCCAGCAGATGACAGGAGCAGGCCCATGCTCAAGGAGACGGAGAATGGGACTGGGCTGCCAGCCCCTTTTCTCCAGCCTCTTCCACCGGGCCTCGGCCAGAGCCACTCGATGAACAGTGCAATGTGAAGGAAGGCAGGAGCCTGCAGGGGAGGAGACTTGGTGCCCAGCTGCCAGAAAGCACAGATTTGACTCAAGCTATTTATATGTTGTAAAGTTATAATAAAGTGTTTCTTACTGTTTGTAATCCCTGGTACCAGTGTGTCCATCTCCAGGCTCCTTGTCTTCTCCCTTCCCCTGACCTTATTAATAAAGTCTTTCTTAGCAGCTCAGATTGTGGAGAGCTAAGTGTGAACTGGGCTAGGCACAGAGGGGTGAGCCAATGAACAGACAAGAGACTGGGCCCAGGAGCAGAGCAGTTCTAGCCCAAGATGGGAATTGAGGTGGCAGGCAATAAGACCCAGAAGGCTCCTGTACCCCTAAGCCCTGTCACTGGATGGGAAAAGCTATACATACCCAAAGACTGGTCTATTGAGGGTACAAGATGATCCAGGGGGACTCCTAGATTGGGGAAGGCAACTTGCAGAGCAGTTCATACAGCACAGGACTCGGTCATTCAGCTTTATTGTAGTGCTGGTATTTGGTTCCCAAAAGCTGCATGAGTGATAGACTTGACCACCTGACTGAGGCTCTTGGGACTGGCCACTGGGCAGGATGCCTCCCAAGAGGGCTGAAGGTAGAGGAATTGCATCCATCTTTAATACCTATGGGGATGTACAGGCTGAGGGCAAGGAGAAGATCTAGTGCCACTTGCAGAAACAGGGAGAGGTTTGGGCACAAACTCCCAGTGGCCCCTCAATAAGGCCATCACCCCAGAGACAACTTATTGGCATTAACAGTCTTTAGGACCAGAATTTAGCTAATTCTCCACTACACCCAGTCAGGGGGCCTGTATTTCCAGATAACCAAAACCTGTAACTACTGCTAAAATGCCTGTTATACAGACTGCTCCCCAGTCTGGCCTTGCCTCTACAGAAAGAGGGTCTCATCTTGGGAGCTTGTCCCTGAGACTGAGCAGAGGGCTCAGGAAGGATACACAGCACAAGGGTCCCAGTCCCTGGCCTCTTCACACCACTGGAGACAACACTGGAGGGATAATGAGACGAAAGGAGGGACCAGCCCTCTGCCCTATTTGGAAAGAAAAGCGATAAGCAGCCTGAAAACCTACAACACCAAGGCCTATCCTGTGTCCACAATCCTTGGCAAGCCAGCCCATGCACTCTTCAACAAGTGATACATACAGAACAAAACCAAAGGCTTTAAAGATTTTTGTAAGGGACCTGGCCAGCTCTCCAGATATGGATCTTGTCCTGCCAGCCTCCAGGGACCAGGCATGTCCTGTGGCTTGGTTTCTTAAGATCTGAGCAGTAGGTGTTCCCATGACCACGCCCCACCACCAGGTCATACAGAAACAGCCTTATTTGAGTATCTGAGATGGGCCACTGGCCCCAAGTCTGTATCTAGAGTAGACGACCTGAAAGGATTCAAAGCCCAGAAGTAGGAGCAAGGGTGGAGCCCAGGCAGGAGAGGGACCCTGCTCTGGGACAACAGCTGCAAAGGACCATTTCAGGAAATGGGCACATGGAAATACAGGCAAGGAGGCAGCAAGTGGTGGCCTAGGACTGAAGCACCAAGGAACCTCCTATGGCTCAGCACCAGGCTCCCCCAGGGCCTTCCGAATCCTGGACATTAAAGCTGCACACTGAGGAATCAACCCTCAGCTAGGGGGTGGGCACTGCTGGCAAGATGGGCACTATGGTAACATGTGACCTTGTACTGAAGACAACAGAAAACCAGCTTAAAATCCCAATAGTTAACACCATCCAGATGCATCCCTTTCCCTGCTTCTCAAAATGATGGAGTGGAAAGACCCAAAGAAAAATCCCAGTGGATCCGCTCAAGAGAAAGGTCAAAATCTGTGGTAGGGCAGAGGGAAGGCCTAAGCTGCCACAGCCCTCAAAACGGAGAGCACAGGCCTACCCTCTGGCAGTCAGCTGCATGCAGCCTAGTCTACATGATTAGAAGGGCTGCTTGGTGGGAGGAAGCAGAGGAGACAGTATGCCATAAGCTATAAAATAAAGCAGGTACAGGCCCCCTCCAGAACCTGGCCCAACCCCCAAGGCGCTCATGCAGGCCCAAAGGCTGTAAACCTGAAACACTGTCTCAGAGCTGCCTATGTCTGTAAACAAAGCCCCACCTAGCACTCAGGGCCAGCTAGGTGCAGAGATGCCTGGAGCTGAGGTGCTCAGCCTGACCCCGCCCCACACCCAGTGGGAAAGCCTTCCCTAGCCACGGGCAAGTGACAGGTCAGGTTTAAGTATGTTCTGTTCTTTTACAGAAGAAATAAAGAAAAACTTAACAATAAGGTCCATGAAGCTTCACATCCTTAAGGCGTTCATCGTCAAGTTTGGTGGCAGGAGCAAGGGACTGTAGAGTCCAGTCTGCCCAGGGCCCCTCTAGGCAGAATGTAGAGGGATGACAAACTTGCAGCCAAAGGGTGAATGGTAGTTGATGCCCACCTCCTGGAAGACTTGCTGGGGAATGCCAATGTCACACAAATAGACACGGCCTGCGTGCTCCCCCAGTGGCAGAGGCAGGCCCAGTGCCAGTGACCATTTGGCATCGATGCCCTGTTCGACTTCATGCACAGGAGGGTCTATGCTGAGTACTGGTGCCCGGTTCTGGTTGGCCCAGGCCACGGCCGCTTTGTACCAGGGCTGATCCCGCAGGAAGGCATTCTCGGGGCAATCCAGGCAGTTGATAACCAGGTCAACAGGGCTAGTGGGCAGATCTGCAGGTGGAAAGAAAACTGTCTTGAGTACCTAGAGCACACAGCAGCCAGGCTGTGCTGAGAGCGCAAGTGGACCCAAAAGGGTCTTGCTTACCAGACATCCATCCAAAAGGCCCTGGGAGTTCCAAAGCCTGGATGGACTGGGTGCCAGAGGCTGAGAGTATGTCATCTGAAGAACCACTTCCCTCATGGGGTTTTGGGGCTGAAGTACTAACCTGACAAGAGTACAGAGCACAAGGCACAAAGCCCTCAACACCTCTGCCTTGCAGGCAGGCCTCTGTACACCCACTAATCTGGGACATTCTAAGCTCTGGGAAGGTAGTAGAGTCCACTGTGGAGTCAGCCCTCACAGGGGAAACCCTGATGGGGTCCAAGAGAAACAGGAGCTGATGATCTGATGACTAGTGAGCAGGTGAGAGCATGAGTGCCTACTCATTCTACTCTAGTTAGCCTGCTTTCTATGAAGCCCAAGTTTAAGAATGGGAAGAAACAATCACTGCTCTCCCAGCATTTATAAAGGCGCCTCTGCTTGATTGAACAAGGCCCCTGGGACAGTATAAGAACAGGATATCTCAACAAGTACACATATCTTAGACTAGCTTAAGAAGTTAAACCTGAGAACAGCTGAAGACCAAATTCAAAGGTTGTTTCCTGAGTCTCATCTCCTAGAGTAGCTTGATTACGAAACCTTTTGGGCCTCCAGAGGAAAAAACTGTCTGAAGAAGGCATCACGATGGAGATTTCAACTCACACCAGTTCCCAATCCCAGCTCTCAGCCCACAGTAATGACATTTCTCATGGCTTCCCTCTTATAACACATCAGTATGTGGAGTCCTTGTGGGTCTTGAGACACTAAAGAGTGGTGCCCACAGACTGTTTAGTCCAGGCTCCACCCTGACTTGCTTCTGCATTCTGGCAAGGCCCTCTCTCTGGATATTTGCTCCAATTTTTCTCCCTCCATTCTCACTTAAACCCTGGTTCAATTAGACTTTGTCCCCACTACTGCACATGAGACTGCTAAATCTAATGGTTAATTCTCAACTTTCCTGTAAACTTAACCTAGAATGGATCATGGACACATCTGACTATATTCCTTTTCTCACCTGGCGCCTTGATGCCACACTCTCCTGCTCTTCCTTCTCTTTCCCTGGCCATTCCTTGGCTAGATTCTTAGCTCCCTGACTCTGAAATAAAGAGCTTACTCCTCTGACCCTCCTTCTACTCTCTTCAGCTAAACACTTGGGAATCAAAGCTAGACCCCTCCTTTTCACTCCAGGTTCATAAACTTCCCACTGAATAACTGACAGTCATCTCAAACATCTCTGCTCTTCATCCCCACACCCTCTCCACCACCAAGTCCCACCTCAGTGACAGGCCCTCAGTTACTCAAGCCAAGAACCCAAATCATTCTTATCTCTCCTCTCATTCCCTACACCTAATGTGTTGACTCTATTTTCAGAACTGATTCAGAAACTAACCACTTCCCACCCTTCTACTGCCATTCTCAGCCACCATCAGCTCTTGCTCCAAGTCTCAACAATAGCATCTCAGCACCCCTATGTACTCTGATCATGAACTCTAAACACCAGACTGCTCATCTGAAACCTGAGTCCAATTAGACCATTCCTTTGCCAATTCTTTCAGTAACTCTCCAGCCCACCCTGAGTAAAAGCCCAAAACCTCATTCAGGGTGATCTGTGGAGCCCTTCATGGCTGACCCTGAAATGCGTGTCTCCTACTCCCCATCTAACCTCCCAATATTCCTTCCCCCCCTTCCCTGCTTTTTCATTCCATAACACTATCATATGACCTAGTGTGTTAATTATCTGTGCATTTACCTTGCCTAACCAGAATGTGAACTCTATGGAAGAATGGATTAAAAAAAAAAAAATCTGTCCCATATTCCCAGTACCAGGAACAGTGCCTTTTCTGTAAGTATTTGTGAAATGAATACGTGGGTCTCCAGTTCTCTGTATGAGTAGTGAGAGAGGGCAAAGGGAGACAGGATAGAAAATAGGCCACCCACCAGGTTTCTTCCCATAGGGAGCTCCAAGACTCCTTACAGGCAGAATACCGTCTTGTATGCAGGTGGAACCTTTCTGCAAGTTGCCACTGGGTGGCACC